AGAGCCTGCTCACCTTGTCTAAAAAAATTGAAAATGTTAAATTATTGGAACAGGACTGAATTGGATTTAATAAAGTTGTAACAATTAATTAACGGTAGTTTTTATGACACAAACCAAACCGAGGGTTCAAACTTGACCTTGAGAAGACGACATTACCCTACTTAGAAGATCATGGAGAACCAGAGACAGTGGTTGCTTCTTTTACGCATANGAGGGGAATAGTAGTGGGGATCGAAATACGGGCGAAAAACAGGGGAAGCGAACCGTGCGGGATAAAATATCCGAGCCCTGCCTAAAGGATCGTGGAGAAATTGAGACAGCGGCTTCCTCCTTCCCATTAAGCCTAACCAAAGGCGTGCACCTGACCTTAACATCCGGGTAAATGGGGTTCACCTCACCTAAAGGATCGTGGAGAAATTGAGACAGCGACTTCCTCCTTCCTTTTAAGCCTAACCAAAGGCGTGCACCTGACCTTAACATCTGGGTGAACGGGGTTCACCTCACCTAAAGGATCGTAGGGAAACAGAGACAGCGACTTCTCCCTTTTACGCCCAATCAAAGGCGCGCACCTGACCTTAACATCTTGGTGAATGGGTTTCACCTCACTTAAAGGATCGTGGAGAAATCGAGACAGTGGCTCTTCCTTGTACGCCTAACCAAAGGCGTGCACCTGACCTTAACATCTTGGCAAACGGGTTTTACCTCACCTAAAGGATCGTGGAGAAATCGAGACAGAGGCTTCTCCCCTTTAAGCCTAACCAAAGGAGCGCACCTGACCTTGACCCCGGTGAATGATTTTACCCCACCTAAAGAATCGCAAAGAAATTGAGAAAGTAGCCTCTTCCTTTAACCCTAATCAAAGGCACGCACCTGACCTTGACCTTGGTGAATGATCTTACCTCACCTAAAGGATCGTGGAGAAACTGAGACAGCGGCTTCTTCCTCTCACGCCTAACCAAAGGTGCGCACCTGACCTTAACATCTTGGTGAACGGGTTTTACCCCACCTAAAGGATCGTGGAGAAATCGGGACAGCGGCTCCTCCTTTCTTAAACCTAACCAAAGGTATGCACCTGACCTTGACCTCGGTGAATGAATTTACCTCACCTAAAAGATTGTACAGAAATTGAGATAGTAGTTCCCTCCTCTTAAGCCTAACCAAAGGCATGCACCTGACCTTGACCTTGGAAATGGACCTACCTCACCTAAAGGATTGTGAACTAAATATTTGCAGGAGTGCGATCACCTCATCTGAAAAAATTAAAGCGACAAATTACTGAAACACAATGGAAATGGATTTGACAACGCTCCAAGTAATTAATCAACGACGGAGACGACGTTACCTTACCCAGAAAATCGTAGAGAAACTGAGACAGTGGCTTCCCCCTTTTAAGACTAACTAAAGGTATGCACCTGACCTTGACCCTGACAAATGGATCTACCTCACCTGGAGGATTGCGAATTATATACTCGCAGGAGTGCGATCATCTCGTCTGAAAAATTAAAGCGATAAATTACTGAAACATAATGGAAACGGATTTGACAACGGAGACGACGTTACCTCACCCAGAAATCGTAGAGAAACGGAGACACTGGCTCCTCTCTTTTAAAGACCAACTAAAGACATGCACCTGACCATGACCTTCATAAACGGATTTACCTCACCCAGAGGAAGGCGAATTATATATTCGCAGGAGTCTGATCACCTCATCTGAAAATTAAAGCGATAAATTACTGAAACATAATGGAAACGGATTTGACAACGGAGACGACGTTACCTCACCCAGAGGATCGCCGAGAAAATGAAATGAAACAACAGCTCCTCCCTTTAAGCCTAACCAAAGACACGTACCGGACCTTGACCTTGACAAAAGGAATTACCTCACCTAGAGGATTGCGGATTATATACTCGCAGGAGTGCGCTCACCTCATCTGAAAATCAAAGCGATAAATTA